AGTGAGTTCTAGTCCCACCTTAGGCATGAAAGCCAGCTGGGTGATTTTAGCAATGGTGGGCTGCAACCGGTTTAAACAACCGGTTCTGTGATCACGCGCATGCAGCGTTCCAATAACACCAATTTGAACCTCAAAAGCTTACCTTCTAGGGCAGGCCCACTAAGTAAAACAGTTGAGGTGCAGAAATCCACTGTGCCACCTGAATCAGCTGAGCTCAGAAAGATGGAAATATTGGACAGGATAAGGCGGAGGTGGGTGGGCGGGGCCAGCTGATCATCAGAACTACCGGTTCGCTAAAACCGGTCCGAAGTGGCATCAGCCCACCACTGGATTTTGGACCAATCACCAGGAGACTGGGAGTTCTAGTCCCACCTGAGACTTGAAAGCCAGCTGGGTGATTTAGGCCAATCATCAGGAGATTGGGAATTCTAGTTATCCCTTAGGCATGAAAGTCAGCTGGGTGATTTTTTTTAGTATTTATTTGATTTGTCAATCGCTTGCAAGATACATGTATAAGAATAAATATAGTTTTGAATACATGAGATAGATACTTATAAGAAAAATAAAAAGAAAGAATAGAACAGGGACGGTAGGCACGATTGGTGCGCTTATGCACGCCCCCTACAGACCTCTTAGGAAAGGGGTGAGGTCAATAGTAGACAGTCTAAGGTTAAAGTTCTTGGGGTTTGGGGAAGAAACTACAGAGTCGGGTAGAGTATTCCAGACATTGACCACTCTGTTGCTGAAGTCGTATTTCCTGCAATCAAGTTTGGTGCGGTTAACCTTGAGTTTGTATCTATTGTGTGCTCTTGTGTTGTTATGGTTGAAGCTGAAGTATTCATTGACAGGTAGGACATTGCAATATATGATTTTATATACTATATTTAGATCAGACCGGAGTCGGCATAGTTCTAGGTTTTCTAGGTCTAGAGTTTCAAGTCTGGTGGCATAAGGTATTCTGCAACGAGTAGAGGAGCAGAGAACTCTTCTTGTGAAATATTTCTGGACTTTTTCAATTGTGTTAATATCAGATACATGATATGGGTTCCAGACTGATGAGCTGTATTCAAGTATAGGTCTAGTAAATGTTTTGTATGCTCTAGTTAGTAGTGTGATATTACCAGAGAAGAAGCTACGTAGGGTTAGATTAACAACTCTTAATGCCTTTTTGGCTATGTAGTTACAGTGGGCTCTAGCACTTAGATCATTAGAGATGAGTACTCCAAGGTCCTTGACAAAGTTTTGTCAATGATTTGAGTCAATCATCAGGAGACTGGGAATTCTACTTTCCCCTTAGAAATGAAAGCCAGCTGGGTGATTTGGGTCAATCACCAGGAGAGTGGGAGTTCTAGTTCTCCCTTAGGCATGAAAGTCAGCTGGGTGATTTTGGCCCAGTCTCTCTCTCTCTCTCTCTCTCTCTTTCCCTCCCTCCCCCTCTCTCTCTTTCTCTTCTCAGACCAACCTACCTCACAGGGTTGTTGTTGTGGTTGAAACTAGGAGGAGGAAGATGTGTTGGAGATATTCACTGCCTGGAGTTGTTTATAAAATAAAGGCAGGATACCAATGATTAAACGAATGAATAAATATCACAAACGGTTCCCTCAAATCTTCACTTTCTTATCACTGGAGGCTCTTGACTGCTGATACGTCGATTTGCAAGGGGTCTGCTCTCTTAGCAGAGGGAGAGGGTGGGGAAGTCATTTTTGTTTTAGTCTTCTTGGCAACTCAGCGCATATCTATTTCAGACGCCGGCTTTGCAGGAAACGAGATGGCAACGGGCCAGAGACTAATTATATTAAAGGGCTGCGTGTGTAAATTATTTATGGGCTGCAGTGTTTATCCCCCAGTGTTATTAAAACCAGAGGGTCCCCTTCAACAAATAAGACTTTAGCCAGGATAGATGTGACAGCAGCTTTGAGGTTGGTCCCGCTGTCGAGGAGTTTGAAAGTTTTAATATATGGCAAAGCCGCATGTTACTTGTGAGGAGGGGATGGTGTTTGGAGGCAGGTCGAGTAGCACAAGATGCAGGCAGATGTGATTTGCGGGTCCATTGGTTGAGGCACCACCACAAAAAAAACCAGAATGAATTTGAAAAATGTCAGGGGTGCGAGAGTCTGCAATCCTAGACAGATTTTTTTTTCTTCCAGAGTGTCCTAGCAGTGGTGCGTTTCAAAACTTTTGCCTACTGGTTCGGTGTGATTGTGCATTTTTCACACTGCGCGCATGCCAAATGCACTCTCTGTGCACAAACAGTGTTTGCCACTCCCCTTCTGCTGCAAGCCCTGTGTGTAAAACAGCTGACGCGTGGCAATCGGCTGTGCTGTGCCGGGGTGGTTGGGAGGGCCCAGCAGCTAATCGTCGGAGCTACCAGTTCAGCCAAACCGGGCCAAACCGGTAGAATACCACCACTGCATCCGAGACTCAGGAAGACATATAGAGATGACCCCATGCAAAAGGTACCAGGTTTTGAACTACCTGGCCGGCAAATAGATAATCCTGGACGGGATTCACGCTTCACACAGCGTCTGTCCGGACTCCCAGGATGAATGGGTATAGCATCCTCCCCTCAGTGTGACTGTGGGGGAGGACACACACACACACCCGTCAAACTATGGATCACATTGTGACCGCCTGTAAGCTGAGTGCACAAACAGGTAGTCCTTACAACAGTTCGTTTAGTGACTGCTTGAAGTTACAACAACACTGAAAAAAAAGTGACTCGCGAGTTTTTCATACTTAGGATGATTGCGGCATCCCCGTATCATGTGATCAAAATTTGACAACTGGTTCATGTTTATGACTGCTGCGGCATCCCGGAGGGTCAGGTGATCTAAATTTTGTGTCCTTCTGACTGTCAACTCATAAAATATTTCCATGGTCTTTTTAGAGTTGCCAACAGAAAGGGAGAAAAGGGGAGCAGTACGGCAGCTTGCAAAACCGAAACTGCATTCCATCAATGTTTTCAAAGATAGTAACTAGGTGGCCGAAGTTTCTGCAGCGCAAAATTCTAACTGGAGAGCATGATTGATGACTCTGGGCTATGGAGGTGTCCCATTGGAGGATATGGATTACGATACACCCAGAGGGGTGGAGGGAAAACCAGGGTCAAGGGTGACAATGTGTCTCAGAGTCGGCTACGCCCAGGCAGTGCTGGCATGTTAACTCCCAATAAATCTTTTTGAAGTTTTGGAAGTTTGGTTTGAGACTCATGATTTAAATGGGGGGGGTCACTGCTGGAACCCTGACACTGAGAAGCAAAATCCATGGGGAAGCCAGATTCACTTAACAACCATGTTCCTAACTTAAGAACCGCTTGGGATTCACTTAGCAAACGTGGCAAGAAAAGTCGTAAAATGGAACAAAACTCAGATAACAAATTTCTCATCGAGCAACATAAATTCCAGGCTCGGTCATAAGTTGAGGACTACCTGTAGAGGGGTCCAGTATCTGACTTTTTTTCCAGTAAGCGATGTTGCGCTTCAATGGTTAGATGGCCTAGTCACTGATATTTGAACATAGATCTTTTTAGAATTTATATTTTTATTGTGTTTTTAATTTAGGCAAAACGTTTATCTCTGTTGTATGTCCTTGCATGTTGTAAAGGGGGGGCATGATGGTTCAGCTGTTAAAGATGCTGAGCTTGTCAGCTGGAGAGATGACAGCCTAGGTTTGAGACCCTAGAACTGCATGACAGGGTGAGCTCCCGTTCCTTGCTCCAGCTCCTGCCCACCTAGCAGTTCGAAAGCGTGCAAATGCGAGTAGATAAATAGGTACCACTTTGATGGGAAGAGCATTCCATGTGCTTCTGGCGTATAGCCATGCTGGCCACAGATACTGCCTTAGTATATCACTGGCTCCCTCAGCCAAGAAATTGGTCGGACATGACTAGACAGGGGAAACATTTACCTTTTCATGTTACGCCAGGGGTCCCAACTAGGGGGAGAACATCTGGGAGGCCCATTTTTTGCCTTCCCCAGGGTCTGGAGGCCTCCTTCAGGCCTCTGGGAGGATGGAAATGGCCTCTCCCGTGCTCTGGAGGCTCTCCGGAAGCTGGAAACAGGCCCATTTTATGACTTCCAATACTTCCAGTAGGGCCAGTTTCCTCCCTCTCAGAGCCTCCGCGCAGAGCCTACATTTACCTGTATCAAAAACGGGCTGCATGGAGGCTCCTGGGCGGGGCAGGGCAGGGTGGGTGGGGCCAGCCAGTCAGTTCCAATACCAGTTCGGTGAACCAGATGCAAATTTAACATCCGGTTTGCCCGAACCGATCCGAACCGGTAGAATCCCGCCTCCCCTGGTCCCAATCTGTGGACCTTGGCCCACTAGTGGGCTGTTAGGGATTTGCAACCGGGCCTCAGAAACAGCTGGCCCTCACAGGCGCATCCTCACTTTTGCAAGCAGCGGGTGAGTGTGCATGTGTGTGCTCCATTTAAGCGAGCAGTAGACGTGGGTGCATGCCGCTTGTGCAAACGGAGGTGCACACCAGTGTGCCTGCTTGCCGGCCACTCACATGGAACCAACCCCTCCCTCCCCCCCTCCCCCCCACCAGTCTGCAAAGCCGGAAACATTGGAGAACTCTTGTGTTAAGCTCATTGGCTAAATAGACTAAGCCTCCCTAATGATCAACGTCCCTTGTTGTTGTCTTTTGGTAGCAACTGCTGAAAATCCAAGAAGAATTAAATAACAAGAAGTTGGAACTCGAACAAGCAAAGGAAGAGCATTCTCACACTCAGGCCATGCTGAAGATCCTGCAGGAACAGGTGAGTGGCGTGCAAGGTTGGTCCTTTCTGTTCGGATAAGTCTCTACAGCGATTCAAGCAGCCAAGTTTGAACCCAAGTGCACACCGAATAGAGAAGCTTCAGCAAGGTGTTACTCCGGGTAAGTTGATATTGGTCTAGGATGAGGAGAGATAACTTCAATCAAACAGGCGGTAGTGACGTTTTGGTTAAGTGATACATAAAAAACGATGTGTTCATTAGATAGGAACTCCTCTCCACTCCTCCACTGCCCTCCACTTCACTTCACTTCCCTCTCCCCCTTCTCCTCTCCGCTTCTCTCTCCTTCCCTCTCTTTCCTTCCCCTCTCCTCCCCTCCTCTCTCTCCTCCCCTTCTCTGCTTCCCTCTTCTTCCATCTCTTTCTCCTGTCCTCCCCTTCATTTTCCTTTCTCCTTTTCTCTTCTCTGCTTCCGTTTCCTTCCCTCTCTTTCCTTCTCCTCTCCTCTCTGCTTCCCTCTCTCCTTCTCTTCTCTGATTTCCTCTCCTTCTCTCTTTCCTTCTCCTCTCCTCCCCTCCCCCCTCCCCCTCCACTTCCCTCTCCTTCCCTCTCTTTCCTTCTCCTCTCCTCTCCCCTCCCCTCCACTTCCCTCTCTTCTTCTCCTCTCCTCTCAATTTCCAGAACATCTATAGCCTATTTTCTATATTTTATATACTGTATGTGTATATGTGAGTGTGTGTGTGTGTGTGTGTGTGTGTTTTCTTAAGTTTTCGCCGGTACTTACATGTATGGTATTCAGCTTTGTTCGGGTATTTTCCCACGTCATTTCCCAGATGAACACAATACAGAAGCCTGATGATGGCAGGTGAGATTCTGCCGAAATGTTGCTACAACTTTAAAAGCACAACTATAATGACGTGGGAAAATACCCGAACAAAGCTGAATACCATACAGATAGACAGACAGACAGACAGACAGACAGACAGACAGACAGACAGACAGACAGATAGATAATAGATAGATAGATAGATAGATAGATAGATAGATAGATAGATAGATAGATAGATAGATAGATAGATAGATAGATAGATAGATGATAGATAGATGATAGAGATGGATGGATGGATGGATGGATAGATGATAGATAGATAGATAGATAGATAGATAGATAGATAGATAGATAGATAGATATGGATAG